GTTGCCAAACTTTTTTATTATACCATGCATATTTAAATATCTCTAAAACCAAAGCATTTAATCATATTAAACCCTTATAATAAATACCTTATTTTATGTCCTAGAATCCACAAATTAAATAAAATACCTGTTGTTTCATAAGAAAAAATATAACTTTGGTATGGGTTAGTTCTGCCGGGTTTCTACATCTTTCCGTTTTTGTATAATCAACCAAGGCGAGTGAAGTGCGCCACCCTGTATATTTGTATCTATTTCTGCACCGATGTTTATAGGGGCATTTTTTCATGTTTTTTGATGACAAATCATGAGTACTTATTTAATAGTTTGGGCAGTTAATGACATAAGAAAACTTTAAAGGCCGCTATTAGACTTAGATTAAGGTAAATTAATAAAATTCGATTATCTCATCAAGCAAACCGAAATTGACAAAATATCGAGAGACTAATTTTAATCGGTGTTAAATAGTCTACGCAGTTTTGCTAACAAGAGAAAAAAGTAAGAGGCGTGCATGTTATTTTAGAAAATTATTCCAGTGATAACACACAGGCACGTTTCTGGTGCATCTGTCGACACTTTTTTAGCATTAAAATCGCACTTATAGTAAGTAAACTTTTACCCTCAAAATTCCATTCGAATCGCTAAGACCGCTTAAAATAAGATTATAATAAATCGAAAAAAAAATAAGATTTTAACACTTTATAGCTACGAAACAAAGCAGTATCTGACCTACGTTGATATAAAGGATAATTCGTATTTTTACGTGATGAATCTATTTAAGAGAAATGGCTCAGCTTTTTTCAAACTATCTGTATATAAAAAAACGTTTTTATTTACCATTTGTTCATTTAATAGTTTCAATTTTGAATAATTTACTTAGATGCAATAAGTATTCCTGAACAACTCGCTCGTTTCGTTCTTAAGATGGCGGCAACCGTAACTTTGCGCCATGTAAACACATGGCTCCAGTAAATGGCAACCAAGTACTTGAGTCAGATAACACATAGTACGACGATTTCGTCGTACGTGCACGAACGTGCACGCAGCAAAAAACAAACAAATAGTATCTACGCAGGCGGTTACATTGCATCGGAGTTTGTGCGTCCGTGCACGAATGTCAATTTTCGTTGGTCGGATGAAAACTGGTTTGTTTTTTTAATACGTGCACGTCCGAGCATTCGATTTTTTTTTCTCTGATCCCAATACATTCCCGAAAAAATTGAATATTTTTGAATACCTACCAGGTTTAATTTCATTTGGGATATATTAATGTTGATGGAGACATTCTAAAATGTTCAAAAAATTTGACCGGTTGCTGTCTTAATTCACCAAATGTTTTACATATTTATTTTCTTCTCCTCTTCTTGCATATAAATCATTTACCTAACATTTTCTTCTTTTCGTGAGTATTTATTTTAACATTATATCCTCACACAGCATCAAAGTAGTGGCGCTTGTTTTGACAAACTCAACACACAGGACACCATGAACGCGCATCTAATGTAACCATTTGCCCGCGGTTACATTGAACGCGGGTCCGTGCGTTTTTTTAAACGTGCGAGCTCTGACGGAATTTACACGCACGACTATTTTATTTTAGTGGTTACATTAGATGCGCATTCATGGTGTCCTTTTGTGTCGAGTTTGTCAAAACGGACGCCACTACTTTGATGCTGTCTGAGGATTTAATGTTAAAATAACTACTTATAAACAGAAGAAAATGTTAGGTAAATTATTTATATGCAAGAAAAGGGGAAGAAAATGAATATGTAAAATATTTGGTGAATTAAAACAGCAACCGGTGATATTTTTTGAATATTTTAGAATGTTCCCAACAACATTAATATATCTAAGATAAAAATAAACCTGGTATTCAAAAATATTCAAATTTTTCGGGAATGTATTGGGCCCAGAAATATAAAAATTCGAACGCTCGGACGTGCACGTATTAAAAAACAAACCAGTTTGTTTTCATCCGACCAACGGAAATCGACGTACGTGCAGGGACGCGCAAACTCCTATGCAATGTAACCGCCTGCGTAGATACCATTTGTTTGTTTTTTGCTGCGTGCACGTCCGAAAACGTACGACCAAAAAAACGTCCGGACACGCATCCAATGTAACCGCGAGCTTATAATAAAATAGTCGTGCGAGAGTAAATTCCGCCAAAGCTCGCACGTATGAAAAAAACGCACGGACCCGCGTCCAATGTAACCGCGAGCTTAGTCGATGTGTCGGATATTTTTCGCTTAAATTACATATCATAAGATTTTCAAAACGATTCATTTTAAAAATATAAAAAAAATCAAATAAAAATAACTATATTGTATAATTTAAATAAACTGACCAGTTTTTTACTACAAAATTAACAGCTTTCAAACGTAAGTTACGGTTTTACTTAGTTTAGACAATTATCAATCAACCAGACTTTCTACGCTATGCTCGTGTCTTGTTGAAGGAAAAAAGTATTGTCAAAAACCAAAAAATTTTAATTTAAAATGATTTTAAACAAAATTTGATGTGAATTTCTCGAACCGAATTCCACACGAAATTAAATTAAATACAAAATGTTTTCACACTCAGGAATATGCATAGTAATTTCCAAAATATTCCATATAGCTCGCAAAAAAAACATAAATAATTTACACCCTTGTGGTATTACTAGTAAAAATATTTTTTAATTATTAATTACGGTATGCCTAATTACATTTTTATTCACTTCAGTCTCTTCAAGTGATTCATTTGACGTTTATTTGACGCTTTTAATGTCAGAAATAGAAGAAACGTACACTTACCTCATGATCATCATCTTCATAGCCGCCATAAATATAATTCTTCACTTTTTTGGATACCTTTGTGTAGGGACTTTCATTGTCCTCCGAATACTTGGGCTTTTGATTGCCCAAACTAATTATATTGTACCTGTTTCCACTGTTATAATCGTCATCGTCATCTTCGGTGTCCGGAAATGTATGAGGCCCTGTATCCTAGTATAAAAGTAGAAAAAAATATAAAAGAATCTTCTGAAAAGTTCATAGTGTAATCTTCAGGTAAATTTTGTATTTATTATTTGTATTATCATTGTAAGAATGTCTTAATAACAGAAGTATAGTCTATTCGAGAAGGTTTAGTGACAGTGCCGTTTGTTCCTGTCATTTTAATTCACAGGTTAAATAGTATTTTCTGTCATTTTTTAGATGGCGCCTATCGAAATCTTTCTTGTCTGTATTCTATCTAATAACAATAAAAAATAATAGCAAACTAAAACATGAGAATTTGCTAAAGGTGTACGACATGTCGACCGTCTTCTGTTTTGGACAGACGGGACCGTTTTTGAACATTTCCTGCGGAATTCATTAACTCAGTGGGGGTGAAAGATACCCTCGCATAACCGCTAAGTACTTCTAAGTCTTGTCTAGATTATACGGCCAATTTAAAAATTAGAGCCTTTATTCTTCCACAGAAATAAAAATCCATAGGCACTAAGTCCGGCGGCCTCGACGGCCAACGGCTGGGATTTTGGATAGCTATTCAATTATTCTCGAAATTGGCAGCAAAAATTTGCTGAGAACTTCAGCCTTCTGAGGCGGTGCCTTGTCTTGCTGGAAAAATATGTTTTTTGAGTTCCATTAGGGACAGATCATCAATAAGGGATCCAAAGCCTACTAGTTAAAAGTGGCAAACTTTTAAAAATTTGGTATTTCGAAGGGGACTATAACACAATATCAAGTGTGCTATGTTTTTGGAAAGGGAATTTTGAGTTCTTTTCAGTTAATGAAGAATATACAGGGTATTCCAAATAAAAAATCAATTTTCTGATGACAACTCTCAAATTATTAATTTAAAAAAAGTATACATAAACCATTAAATTCTACGTAAAAAGTTGCTATAGCAGTGTTTTCATAGAAATACCAAATTTTCGATAGCAAAAAAGTTACAACGATTTGTTAAAAATGCATATTTTGAAAAACACACCGTGCTTCCGGTTAAAAGCGTCTAATTTGACCCCCCACGTACAGCCTCGCCACAAAAAAATTTCTATTTTACTCCCAATAAAACAATTTATGTACTATATTGCCTCTCCAGTTTCTAAATATTTTACCTTTTATGCTTTTAACCATTTATTTACATTGTTAGATAAAAGTATTATTTAGTAGCAATATTTCAAGAGGATTACAGCAGGAAATTCTCTGTAAACTCTTTACTTACCGACAATCTCGATATTTCAAATTCGATTTCGTAGGGATGTGGATTATAATGCCTTGGACCAAGAAAATATTCTCGTTCGTATTCATCTAAACAGTGACAGGATACGGTAAAGCTAAGAAATACAAATAATCCTAGTTGTTTCTGAAAATAATAATACGAATACAGTTTAGTATACATATATACACATTTAGGTAATATTAAAATAGGTAATCTTAAATTTTACTTTAAAAATACAGACATTATTATTATATACCTAGTAATATATTACTTAAATCTACCTCTACATAAAATTTACAATATACTTGTTAGCTCATAAAACTATTTAAAAACCCCTGATAAATATTTATAATGCTCTATAGCGTTTCAAAAAAACGTTGAAAAAATTTTTGGATAAATTTTCTTGACATTCCGGTGAAGAAATTATATAAATGATTGTATAAGTAAAATGATTTAAACAGCTCACATCCAGACAGAATAACAAGCACTTAATAGTGTTAAGCGAGAATATATAATTGTAGTTATATGATAGTGACAATTGTTTGTCATTTTTTTTACAGAAATTAAATCAAATAATTTGAATACTAATATAAAAGATTTTCAAGGAGTATTTATTTATTGACACTATGGCGAATGTTTGTTTTAAATTAAAAGACTGTTTAATAAAAAATATCAAAATTATAAATAAATATATTAATTATAATAAAAAATGGCAGATGCTCAGTATTAACCCTTATTTTCTAGAAATATTACCATTAAAATAAAGCAATTAAAACTCAAAGTAAGTTTAATATTCCGCGACAAAAAGACAACTTTTCCTTTATCTACCCTTGTACTTCAACAGAAATTTATCCAACCATGTGTTAGTAAACAGTAAAAAGCGCTTTTCTATTTTGATAGAGAGTTTGTAGTTTATTAATATATAAAACTTAAAATGTTTTTTCTCCATTTGCCCAAATTGATTTACCTATAATTTTATAAATACTTCAGTTAATTACATAATTATCAATATTTAAAAATCATAATTATGTAAAATATTATTGTTCACTATCATCAGAGATGGGCAAACAGCCGGTATATTAAATTTTGGGTAAATACCCGATGGGTTTTGCATCCGGTTAGGTATACCCAATGAGTAAATACAGAAATGAATTGCATCTTCTTACAGATGCCATACTCTATACAGAACGTCAGCTACCTCTCGCATGTATTTGTTTCACAAGTACACAGGACCTATAGTTTATCGCCGAATTTACAAGGCAAATATATTCAAGGTGGTTTGCCATTACCTTCCTTGGGGTGGCGCATGACGACTCGCTGGTCGCTCTATTTAGTTAGACCTATTTAGATAAATATTTTTATTTTAAATAAATAAAGCGTTCGTACTGGGCTGATGATCGATGACCCAGTACCTCTCGCTCCGCAGATAGACACGCACCTGCTGAAGCACATTGAATTTGGGTAAATACTATATACTCGGTATATACCCAAGTATGTTTATTTTGTTAATTTAACGTACTATAAAAAATTTTGACAACAATTTTGTTGTTATCTTACTTACTTTACCCCACCAAGACTGCAAAAAAATACCCTTGATTGAATTTTTTCACTGTGTTTTATATTTTGAAAATATATATTTTCAGTAAATTAGCTTAATCTGCCACAAGAGTAGAAACGTTACATGATAATACTTAATTTATAAAATAAAACAAAATGTTTCTATTGTCTCTATTTTTAAATGACAAAATGGCGAAGGGATATTTGAAAATATCTAAAAATATAAATTTAATTTTCTGTTATAGTTTTTAACATAAAATAATACTAAAAATATAGAATATTACCATTATATAATTACTATATTTCCAGAATACCTTTTGGTTTTAAAAGAAATTACGGGATTTTTCTACAGACCAATTCAACGAGTCTTCTATTGCACGCTAAACATAAAGACAAATTCAAATTAATTAAACAAATTTTGCTTAGTTACTATTGTTATTCCATTATACAGGGTGTTAAATATTTTCCTGAACTTTCCGTAACTACAACGTATTTTGGAATCAAATAAGTTCATTAGACATAATTTAATAATTAAAAAAATAAGATATAAGATTTTTAAGAACTGTTATTCTGATTTGATTGAGATTTAAGGTGCCTATATTTTGGTAAGTGCTTGACACAATCTTGTGGCATTAACAAAAATCAAGAAAAAGTACATGAAGGTTGAAAACGACCCCCACCCCTACATAAATTTTAGTAATTACTACATTTTTTTGTCCCTTGTAAAAAAAAACTCTGCGCCCTACTTTTTTGAGAAAAATATTTTTAATAAACTTTTGATTTCTGCCCAAAATATTTCTTTTCATCAATTTTTTCAATATTTTTTTTATGTATATTCTCATCAAATCTGAGTACAATCTGGCTATCGCTAATAATCTAGTTAATATGAAATTTTATGTTAATTATCACACACTAAATATTTGACAAGCTTCATAAAAGCTTAAAAAATAAATAAATTTTAAATTAATAATTAACGTTCAGGTTTATTTTTGATTGGTGCTCTTTAACGGACAAACGAAGCCATTTTGTATAGAGGTAAATTGTGTCCAGTGAACTTATATTGATTCCAGAAGTTCTCTATGTCCACGGAATATTGGGACACATATATAATATAAATGTTGCAAACATATAAAAATATATATTTAAATGCAGTTTGTCATTAAATTTAATTGTTATTTTAATCTCTATTTTTTCTTATCTCATAAAAATATCACTCGCTTCTATACTTGTTACATATTACAGCATTATCTCCTCTTATTCGACTAACATTATGCAAATTAATATTAATAATTTTTTTTTTTTTTTTTTTTTTTTTTTTTTTTTTATGTATATTCTCATCCAAACGACATAATACTGTGATGTAAGATTAATTAAAAACATTTTTCCTATAAAAATTAAAAATATTCTTATACATCTTTATAAATAATACAAAGTTTTTATTTTTATTTTATGCAAAAATAATTCAAATATTATCTATTTGAAATGAAAAAAAAACGTAAATGAAACAATATATTCTCATATTGTTTTAATTTAATTAATTTTACAAACAAACGTCATTAAGCTCGACCACTGCAGCTTTGCACAGCTGAAAATAATAATAATACATCAATTTATTTTGAAAGCATAATCCGCATAAACTAGATAATTTATTTTGATATTATAAATTATTATTTGAACAAAATATATGTAAAATTAGTTTTACCAATTATGGATAAAATATAAATCCTAAACAAATGGGTATTTCGAAACGACAGCTACAATATTTTTGTTACATAGTTTGGTTTTTTGTAACGGGAGAGTTTTATATGAACAATTAATTAACTGTTACATTAGGATAATGTTACTGTTTTGTTAACCACATACCTAGTTATATTATAAACGTATTGTTTGGCGATAATGGTTTCTTAATCATACCTCTAGTTAAATACTATTGTTTCTACAAAAAATATACCGGGTGTTGCATCGTCGGACGGGACATAGGAAATCCCATGTAAATTTTAATGGGGTCAATTATTGGCTTCCTAATTATTTTAGAGAATAATTCTATTTAGGTTTATTGAAGAGCACTAAAACCCACATTCAAAGAATAACTTTAGATATTTTTGATTAGCGCGTTTACGAGTTATCGCCGATTTCTTTTCAAATATTTCTCCTTTCTTATGGCCCTGTGTTTACTTATGAGCACCAGTCAAGGTAAAAGATAACTGTCAAATGAAGTTGTCATTTCAGAAATTTACCTATTTAGTGCTTTATTATTATTAAAACTCATTCCTACATCGGAAATCTTAAAGATGTATTTATAAATACAAATTAATATGAATTAAAGTAAAATAAAATGAGTGAAATTACAAAGGTGAATTATAGTATTACAATGTTAATAACTTATTAATTTGGGTACTATTAAATTGTTAGAACTTTAGGATTTAAGAAGATGTTGAAATATTCCTCCATCGACTGCTAGACAATAGCACAGGCGATCATAAATTCTCTTCTTACATTCGCTAGTTGGTAAGCTGAAATTCTATTGCATTCGGCAGAAATAGCATTTTTAACTCGTCTAGATTTGGGTATTTTTATCCTTGTATATTAAATGGCCCATCCTGTTTTTAAATGGCCCCAAAGAAAGAAATCATTTGGCGAAATATCAGGAGACCTTGCTGGCCAATTTACTGTATGATTTAGGCCAATAACGATTCCGTTAAAACTATTGTCCAAATATTCCCGAACAGCCAGGGTACTATGCCGGGCAGCCATCCATATGGTACCAAACTTCCTGATATTTCCTAGCGGCATCATGTAATGCTTTACATGATGCCGCTTTACATGATTACCTGGTGGTAAAATATGATTTTCGAGTAGTTCAAAATAATATTCTGCATTTAAATTTCGCGTATGAAATAATGGCCCGATAATATTTTATCCGAATATCCCTGCCCAAACATTTGCTTTCTGTGAATATTGCGTCCTTGTTTCGACAAACCTGTGTTGGTTTTCTTTGTTCCAATATCGATAATTCTGAACATTGGGTTCATTATTTAAGGTAAACGTGCATTCGTCTTTGAAACATATGTTTTAAAAATTCCTATCCGTGTTTGCTCTTTCCATCATATCAAAACAAAACGCCTGCCGCCGTATTTCTTCCCCATCTCGTAGCTCTTGGTGCTATTCATATTTGAAGGAATAGTATTTATGTCGTTTCAAAATTCGAAACGCTGTGTGTAGTCCTATTTCATCCTCAAGTTTCCTTGTGCTGATCTTTCCATCGTTCTCTTCCACGCCAATAAAACTTCCAAGTCGGTATCATTTCTTGCATCTTCTCTTTGTTCCTGCCTTGCTTCACATCTGCAGTTATTTATTAGAGTACCTTTGGTCTCAAATCTCTGGATATTCCTTGCGATTGTAGATTTTCCAGGTATCGGTCTATTCGGATACAGATTTTGATAACTATTTCCTTGATAATACCATTTAATCATCAATACTTTTCTTCAGTAGTGTAATTCATGGCTATATTTTCGATGTAGGTATGAGTTGTTAATAATAATAATAATAAACACTAAATAGATAAATTTCTGAAGTAACTAACTTCA